TTACTGTAAAAACACATTATTTTCCTATACATTACTCAATAAAGATTCCCCTGATATCTTATGATTAATACAAAATAAAATGTAAATTCGTTTTAGTACCTTAATAATATTCTCTAAATGTATATTTATATAATTTTTATATTAATCAAACAATAAACAATCTTACGACATTTCTGATAATAATATTTGAATGGAGAAACTTTAAAATATAATATTAACAAACAAGTAATAAATCCAATTAATATGAAATTATATAACAGTTATTATACTAGCAATTTAATAATTTAAAGAATTTTTCAATAATATTTATATCATCTCAATTCAAAACAATTTTAAGCCCAAAACACAGAAAAAAGATTGAGAACAGAACCTCTTTAAAGACAATATTTATTATAAAAACGTAATATCATACATTAATGTAAACATAAACATCCCCGCATTTTATTAAAAATTCTATACATTTTTTATCATTAAAAATTAAAAATGAATACTTAATATTACTGTATATAAAATTCGAAATAGGTTCATATTTTGTACAACACATTTTGTTAAATAAAAAACCAATTTTTAAAAAATGAAGAAAATATTATATTTTCATAAAAATATGCAAAATAATATCAAACATTATGGAGTAATAAAATTACTGTTTAATTGTTCTGGTATTTAGAATAACAGATTCAAAAATGTTTAAATGAGTGCATGCTTAATACAAAATGAATATTTTAATCTTCAATCTTTAAAATAGTTCAAATTTCATTCAAATCTAAATTGTAATTTATATTTTATTTTTGATTCAATGTTTTATTTGAGATCAGATTTTTTACTAAATTTTATCACGTAAATTATACAAATATACATAGGAGAGAGCACTCTCAAATGAGTAAGCGCGTTCGTTAGCGGTTAAAAACAATAAGGCGTGAACACAAAACCACTTCCTGGTTTAGGTCACACAACCCCAGGTCCCCACGTTTCATCTAACAAAAACCAACTCTATTGTCCAAATAAAAACGGGGTGCAGCCTGAATTATGGTCTGTTTAAAGACTACGCGTTTTTATTATTTTTTACATTTTCAAAAAGTAAATATTTCTTTAAATTTAAATTGAATATGTATATTATTTTTATAAACATAATATGCAAATTCAGTAAATAATTAACATTTTTAAGTTATTTTATAAAATACTATCATGTTTAATTATCGTCACAACTATTTAAATGTTCCCTATATTATTATCTCACAGTTGTCTAAATTTTTTATAGGTATTTTGGAAAGAAAAAAACATTTCAAAAAAAATGTTAATAACTTATAACAAATAAATATTTTATATAATTAATTACGTTTGTACATTTTCTTGAGTCAATGTTGATAGCATTATCTATCATATTCTATATTGTTTAAACGTGTGATATAAAGATACAATTATTATATAAGAGTACTCTTTACGGTTTTTTTATTCATAATATTCACAATAAGTTTTTATAAAAATAAAAAAAAACTAATAGGTAAGTAGGTATCTTATTAGTTATTAATACCATAATTATAATAAATGAAAAATTAAACATTCATAAATACGAATATGAGTAGCGGTGATGTTTATTTTAAAGAATGTCTGTAAACATACTCGTATGAATCGCGGGAATGGTTTTACCCTATAGAACATACTTAACGCCCAGAGAGAAGTCTGATGTTCTACAAAAATGACAAGTCTAATGTACGGTTTCAAGGACGTAATACTGTAGGCATAGATATAATTAGGGAGGCAACTAAAAACTACAGAGAACAACAACAATGGACCCTTTTTTTTGTATGGGGTGATATGTTATATAGTTGTGCGTAGTACTCGTATATTCATACATTTTATCATCGTTCAAAATGAATGAAGTTCGTTTCTGATTACAGGACCACTTTTATTCGACTATCAAGTCTATATAATATATATATATATATATTATATATATACACATACATTTTTGCTTAATATAATAGGTTTGTAATGTTAACCCAAGGACAATTCTATAGTTTTTTAATCATTACGATGGTTGGATTTTCATAATAAAACAACAATATACTTTTTGTTAAATTAAAAAAAATCCTTGTATATTATGGACGCGCATTCGTTGATGATATAGCACATCAAAGAAATTGATTTTTAAATAATATAAGATTAAGTTTATTTTAAATTTAACATAGTAAGACCTTGTAAAATAAATCTACAAAAAAATCTATTTAATATATTGGTTTGAAAGTTCCCACGGTCTATAAAACAAATATAACTAATAATATATTGACAATGATAACCTTAATAATTGTTTATTTAAATTAGGGACAATAAAATGTTTACATTTTTTTTAACATACAATACTTATTATTATTGAAAATCATCTATATTATATAATACTATACAGTTTCATATAGATAAATGATACAGTAAATAGAACTTTATTATCAATTGCCCAATAATTTTGCGTAACGGATGATCATTTACACGTTTAAACAAATGAAAAAAACTAGCAATTCGTTTGTTGATATAATCTTTCTAAAAGGAAATCGACATTAGAAAAACATTTCCCTTGAGATGAAAAAAACACAAATACTTGTAGATTATATATTTATTTTGTTTGTACAAATCTGTACAAAATGGGTACCTACAAAGTGTTTATATTGGAACTACGTAAATTAATGTAGGAAAAATAAATAATCCCCGAATATTGAATTCTGTTGTATTTTTTTTTTTTTTTTTTATTAAAATACTTTATAACCTATATACTTATACAAATTATGTGAATTGATAGTAATCAAATAAATATACGAGTAGGTAGCTTTATACTTTAATAGTCTAATGCGTATTAGACTTTAATATTATACATTGTAACAAAATAAATTATTATGTGTGAAAATATATTTACAAAAATACACATCCCAGAAGTAACGAATACGGTGAGATAAATTGATGTACTCGATAATCACAAGCACGCGCGCTCGCGAAAAACAACTTTTCCACAGTAACTGCAACAAAACTGTAATAATTTCTATCGAGGTGGTCGACGTGCGCCATATGTTCACTTTTCTCTCTATGCAATATACGCGTATGAGATATTTTATAAAATAATATGCATATATTCTAAATATACGACAAAATTTTCGAACAACGGTAGAGTTTGACAAGTCAGAGAACGAGAAGAGAATCTAGGTGTAATAATAAATTATTATTATTATTAATAAGTGTCTTATAGTGATGGTGAGTGTAGTCGACAAGAGAATACATAGTATATATATGTTATAAATAATATATTTCGTATACAATAACTTACTCACCGAATGAGCTGGGAGATACTTTTTTTTTTTTTTTGTTATTACTCTTTTATTTTATTATTTTTTAAGCACAAAAGAACTCCACGCATTCCTAGACGTAAATATAATAGAAGACCGATCTCGGCGACGTGAACGATATATATCATGTACGCAGAGGAAAAAAACCTATAGTAAACAATATTATACACATACACGACGATCGCGAACTAATGTGCACAAAAGAAACACCACACACGCACACATACACGCGCGCACTGGCGACCGCCGACCAGAGAAGAACCTTCTCAATTCTTACAAGTACAAGTAACCTGTAGCATGCGTACAGGCCATTGGAGACTGGAGAATCAGCGCGGCTCGGTATACGACGGTCGCCGCGGTTACCACTACTACTGCCACCACCGCCACAAATACAATCGCCACTTTTGACGCACTCGCTACGACTACCGCCACTGACTCGGCGGTGCTTTACCTACATAGTATAGTAATAAAATGATATGGCCTCGCGATATTTTTTTTATATGTACACATTGTACACGCGGGATGAAGGCACGGTCTACCGATAACGGGATAAACAAACAAGAATAATACGAAAAATTCACCGGTTTCGCGCCATCGACCGCAAATTAAACGCTTGTGCTGCTATCTCTACACACACGCACCCGCGCAACCCGGGGTGTGTAATTCCATCATTTGCTATTCACGGTTCGTGAAAACCGCCCGAAATTATCGTTTCGATTCGCACTCGATAGATTATATCATATTTATATAAGTCAGTGCATAATATTATAATTATAATATAACATGACGACGGTTAATGTTTATGATAAAATACAAAACAATCCATTTATCTGCATAGGCGCCTTACTCATTTCCCAGGTTGGTTCTAGTGATTTTGGAAAAAAAAAAGATCGGATCTAATTCATTACCTACTATTTTTCCATTAAACAGATTGTTCATGAAAACATATATTATTAATTTTTGTAATTGGGAACAGAAGCCCGTTAAAAAAAGTTAATGTATAAATAATCAACAAATCAACTTTTTATATTAATAATATTTTAATCAAAGATTTAACGAGCGAGTAGAACAAAACTTGTGGAGCATTTCAACCCATTATTTTTCCATTGAAAAAATTAATTTCTGAAGTGAGAGAATTTTGTAAGCTTAGGAATTTTATATAGGCAATAACCATGGCATTTAACGAAAATAAAAATTAAAGAATTCAATTTATTTCAAATTATGCTGCACCGACATAATATCAGTTCCTGTTTTAATCCCAAATATTTACTTAGAACATGGTATGAAATAAGAAAACTTTAAAAGATATTCAATGAAAAACTATATTTTTTGTATAAAATGGAAATATTTTAATAATTATTTTTGTTAACAATGTTGCCTATATATAACTCCTTAAATTGAACCCTATGAATTATTTAATAATGCAATAAAATTATAATAATTTGAAAAAATATAATGTTACGAGTGTTATGAGTGTTATGACAAACCACTCCACCGTTAAATATCACTGATTTGTATTAATAGATAAAATTATTCGCTGTTTTTATATAACATATTACATTTTTTCTTCTTCATTGGTATTAAAAATTATTTTTACTTGAAATTATTTCTACACACCATAATAAATTAAATATGCTATACAATATCAATAACTATATAAATTATATTTACCTGGGCCACATTTTCGAAATGTTCATGACTTTTTTGATAAACCCGAGCTTTTTGTAACGTACGTCCAATTCCAGTATTCTTTCTTAAAAATACTTCTCCGTGATTAGACAACCAGTCAAGAACCTAAAAATGTATTCATTGAATAAACTTATATCTATAAGTAAAAATTAAAAATTATTGAGACATATTAATACTTGTTTGACATCTTCTTGAAATAATCGTAAAGCCAATTTCTGATGAAGTCTTATCTTTTTAGAATGCCATCGATGTTCTAGACTTCTATGATGGTTTAAAATTTGGTGTATTACAGCAAGTACATGACTGGCACCTTCTGAATAATCAGCTGCTGCTTGTTGATGGTTTGTTCCAACTGGCTTAGTTGTATTGGCTGAAGAGTCTGATCCACTATCCAGCTACAAGCAAGTGAGAAATTAGGCTTGTCAATTATAATTATGTTAGAGATAAAACTAGCAAAAGCTACAAGCCAATTTCATGCGTGTTAAAAAAAGCTTACATGTTTATGATGTTGTTCAGCGACTGGTGTCAAGTCACTTTGGTTACACACCTGAACCAAATGGTCCAACTGATAGAGCAGCTTCTTACTCGTGCTATGAACCTAACCCAAACCAAAAAATATTCCCGTCATGCGTTTTAAATAAATATTAATATATTTGCTTTTAATGACAGTTAATTCTTTAAAATGCCCATAAACCAAAGTGTTGTGATATAAGGAATAATCCATAGCCAATGCATAAATTGCTACCAAGTTCTAACCAAGGCTTTAGTCATTATGTTTAAGGATTCTGGGTTATCAAAGAATCCATAAAATTGTACAACAATGGAACATACATTTTTTTGTGGAGAATTGCCATAATGTATAAACGGTACATTGCTTGGAGGAGTTGGAAAACTTTCACAGACTTGTACCAAAGTATCCAGCCCATTTAATAGGCTTTGATACCCATTATAAACCTATATTGGTCTCAAAAATTTAAATTTTGTTAAGGGAAAAATATAATAAATAATTTACCTCAGTGTATGCTTGGCACATGAGTTCATATAAATTCTGATGTTGATGAATTGAATTTTCTAACACCATAATTTCATTTGGTATGGTAACATTTTCTATGGCCTCATCCCAGTTTGGTACATTTTCCACATACTAAAGCAAATATAAACTCGTTCAAAAAAATATTTAGATTTAAGATATAAATTCATACCTGTTGAGCTTTATGATGAAATAAAACAGATAATGCTAACACTGATGTTCGTTCGTCTAATCCAGCAGCAAACTGTTTCCATGTTCTATCTAATCGTTGAGCAACTGTTCTTATATGATTAGAAGCATAATGTCCAGATTCAATCATACGATGAGCAACAGCTACAATACGATTTATATTCACATACACATTCTAAAAACATTAAATGTATTTAAAAAAGTTCTTAATTTAATAATCATTATAAATGTACCATGGAACTCATGGTGAAATGATTGTGCTCTTCTTGTATATCTTTGGCAAGTTGATAGGAATGTCCAATTTCAACATAACTCATCAAAAAAACATCCCGATTATGACAAATCCAATCAAACATCTAGTGAAATGATTAAATTACATAATATAATATTATTATAACATAATAAATATTAAATATAAACTTAAATCCATATAAACATCATAATAAAATACATAATATCACATTACCTTTTCACAATCCTGTTCAAACAGTCTCAACTGGAAGCATTGATCTAATTTAAGTTTTTTATGTTGCCATAACTGTAATACATGTTTATGAGATGTTCTAATGGTATCCAACTGCTGAAGTATTTGAGGTACAGATGCTTGTAAATCTGGATTACTAATACCATTGCTAGCTTCACTATCACGTCCAGAATAACCAGAATCATAACCACTATTATTATCTCCGGATAATCTAAGCATGAATTAATAATAATTAATAAATAAGTTTGGGTAAGTTGGTTTGTCCAATGAGATTACCTTTGCAAGAGTTGTTGGCCAGCTAAATCCATATCCTCTACTGGAGTCTTGAGTACTTTCTTTTTCATATCGGTATGAAAGTCAAGGGCAAGTTTGGCACCAGCAATATCATCTCTACAATCGTTACGGCTCAAATCTTCTTGTAAATCATCTAATCGATCTAACAAATCAGCTGCTTGCCACATGAATTCTTCAATACTCTGTAAATGATAATAATAATTAAAAAAAGTAATTAATTGAAAAATAAAATATTGATAAATTAATTTTTACTCACTAATCGAATATCAATCCATTGGGCATGATCATAGTGTAGAGATCCATCGAGATCTGATGTCAGTTGTGTAGAATCTATAAACTTAGATAAGCCTTCTAAATTCACCATCGTTGTCTAAAAAAAATGTATAAAAAACATTACATTTTTTTATATAGGTAATATTAAAATTAATTAAGTTATTACTTCAAATTTATATTTATGACTAGCCATACTGGTTCGCTGTTTATGCCAAAAATTATCAGGTTTTACAACGTATACAGCATACACATGGTTCCCATTGCCTCCGGCACACCAATCTTGGAGGGCTTTCAAGATTGGTTTGACAGATGACCAGCCAGAACCACCTCGCATATCAATCACCGCTACTAAACCTGATTCTTTAGCTTCACACCTAAGAATTAAATAGATACATTAAATTTTTTTTAACTAACAAAATAACATTTAATTTAATAATTTGACATTTATAGATTATGTATGAGAGGAAGTATAAGGCTCTATTTTCAAAATATTGTGTTAACCTTTTCACAAAATCCTTTAATTTATTCAAAATTGAATACATATAATGAGTAATAACTATAGATTATTTTGCATTGTGTATAGTGATAAAACAGTTATAATAAACTGTTAAAATGTTTAGTAAGTTATTTGAAAAATGTACTTAAAAAAAAAAAAATGGAGATACAAAAGTTAAGAATTATAAATTCAATTTTGATTTTCAAATTCGTAAAGTATACTTAGAGCTTATAAACCATTTTTACGGCTCTTATATAAATACTTAGAGATCGTGATCATTTTTATAAATGTACACTTTACATTAAATTACCATAATTAACTCTAAATAACGGTCGTAGAAACGTATTAATAAAAAGAACATCTGAAATATGAATGATGTCAATTAACATATCGGTGTACAATCTTTGGCTTATAATCCACGAAAAAAGGGGTAACATATATCGTCGTACTTGAAGCAATGAGGCTCACAAATAAGTAAAATATAACAAATAATTACAAGACTCGTTTCACTGGATGCCGAAATTTCATCACACTACTCAACACGATAGTAAATATAAAATTTCGAAAAATGATTTAATACAGAAAATCAATGAAAATTAGACCAGAGTATTAAAAAAACGATCCTTAAATATGTAACGATATATTTCCTTAAGATTAACCACCAACGGGAATTATCGCAATTACCGCTGGAAGATAATACAAACCATGCATTCGGTGACTGTTGTCAATTGATCCGTCTCATAAAAAAGCGATTTTTGCCGACCTTTTTCTATTTATTTATGGTACCATTCAATTCTCAATTAAACGTCATAAGTTAATGGTATCATGTGTAACAAAATCGTAACAAAATGAGTTTTTTACTTATGTTTGTAGTCTCGTAATTTGATGTTCGATAAAATGCGTAAATGAGGATTAAGGGAGCTGAGGGCAAAATAACATATCAGCTATATTATTCACGTAATTGTAAATAGATATACCTACATCATACTAGTACAATTATGCACATTTCTACGATCGTTATTGGCATTAATTAAAATATATTGTGTCAGCGGCGCAATCAGGATTTATTCAAGGAGGAGGGTCTCAAAAATTTATTTATCTACTGTTTTTCTGTACTTTTCCTTAAATAATACATACATTTTATTACTTAATAAAAAAATTATATTATTTAATATACATATTTTTAAAATTTTTTAATTTATATTTAAAATGTATGTCAATTATTTATTATTATTATGCCAGTTAAATTATGGTCTAGTCTCTAGTCATTAGTATTAATATTGATTTTATTTATTTATCAAAGTCGATGTGTTATCAATAAAATACCAAATCTGGTAATAAATCTAATCAATAAAATTTAATGAAAATTTCAGGATAACTTTAAAAAATAAAAATAAATACTATGACATAAGCCATAAGACCCGAGGTCCTCCCCTGGGTTCGCCACTGTATTATATTTACATGCTATTGTATAAATTTGTAAAATGTAAGTTTAAGTATTAAAACATACATGATTTAATTAATATTTTTAAAGACGATACGAAATAAAAAAATTCTTACGGAGGTATAGATCCAAAATATTGCAATAACCGTCGATAGTCTTCAAGTTTAGCTCGTTCTCTTCTTGGAGTAGAAGGAAACGTAACTACAGGCGCCCCTCGTTTGTCTCGACCACCAGTGAGGAATGCAATCTTCTCTTGAAGAAGACCCATCACTTCTAGAGCTCGCACACTATCCATATTATACCTTTAAAAATAAAACAAAATCCTATTTTTACTACAATTTTTTTTAAGTAAACATAGATTTTAAATAATTATTATAGTAATATACTGATTAAATTTAAAATAAAATAAAAATCTTTATCGAACACAATAAGAAATAATCTCTTATGGCCATTGTCCTATTGAGTCTACCATTTAAATTAAATTGAAATGAAGTATATATAGCGTCTCGTTCTCGTGTACAGATTATGTTTAGTTTTCATCATCAATACATCGTGATCAGAAGCAAAAACCACAAATATATTGAACATAATCCAATTATGATTGTTATTATTGGTTTACTTTTTTTTATCTTTTTTTCCGAAAGTAAAATAAAATACCAATTACCATAAAGATAAAATCATAAATTCTATAATACATTTGTAACAGTCTAATGACTTTAAAAATATACATAATGTATATTGTATAGTACACATTACACATATTATAACAAATATAACTTTACAGTTTAAACTACTCTAAAAACGTTTTAATGAAACAAATAAGTAAAATAAATAATAAACTTGACAAAAAAATCGACCCGTTAATAAACTGAAATTTAACAGAAAGAACATTAAATAATTACGATTCATAACGCACTACTAGATTAACACAAAGTTGTTTTTTAATTTTTATAAAAGAAAAGTTACACATCAAAACACAAATTTAAACTACCCAATATATGTATTACTCCACAATTTAATTTGCACTACATTATATTGTAAGCAATATAAATGTATTGATTTAACATCGATAAAATGTAAAAATAAATACTTTATTCCGGAATAAAATCATAACATTACTAAGTACCTATATACTTAATTAATGATAAAGCAAAAACAAAAGATGCAAACGATGACAACTTAAGGGTAATATTATAGTTTTATTAGTTTATTTATAACATGCATATAAACACAGTAATGAAAATAAAAATATTATACTAAAATCATATAAACAAATATAAATGTAGAAAAAATGTCTACATTTTAAAAAGACAAATTTTGTATTAAATTATCATTATTTATAGGTACCTATGTGACTTTTATAAATAACATTACATAAAAATATGCTGGATATACTTTTAATATGATATAATTAATAAATATACAATACATATTTCTTTAATTACGGCACATCTGTTAGTTACCTAATGAAAAAATATATATTAGAGAAATCTTTTGAGTGTAATAATAAAAATAATAAAATATTTTAACTTCTAATACACGTAGGTATATACGTAGGTAGGTATATAGTCTTTCCTCTTTCTTAAGAATCGACGAGCCCACTAATCTGTAGTATTTATTAATAGAAAAAAATGATATCGCTATATAGGGTTAATAAACCATTATTCGCCGCAATACGATGTTATTAAATAAAATTATACACTAAACCTATTCCTATATACCTACATAACATAATATACAAGTGTTTCTTTTTTTCACTCGCTCATTCATTGATCATTAATTGTGTACAATTTTATGAATTTTAAATTCATAACTTATACAATCAAATTTTAAGCCTTTATTATAATTATATAATTTTGAGCCGTTAAAAATTCACGGATAACCTATCTCATGCGCCATTCCATCTGCACTTGGCCAAAATCATATTTTATACGTATTTTGTGTATATACAAAAACTTTAAAAAAAAATGTCTCCCATGTTCCAAAATGTAAAATTTGTGGTAAAGACACTATTAAAATTTAAAAATTATTATTAAAACCTCGGGTTAGTGGTTATCACATTAATAAATATTGCCCTGTATAGTGTATAATATATAATAAAAATAAACCTATAGGTACTATAACACAGTAGGTATACACAGAGTTCGATCTCTCGATATCGTCATGATTATTATTCGTATCGGTTCTAGGTATTCGGCAGTGGTCGTACAGGTTTTTTATTATTATTATTATTATTTTTATTGGGTATACAGAAAACAATGCCTTTTGCGTAATTTATAGCGTACGGTATTATGTAATGTGTAGCCGACACACTACGCAGACCACGGGACCCGATGGCAGTTGCTCCACAGCTCCATGACCAAACCGAACGCAATATCGAACCCCTCCAATCACGCCTGCGGCGCACATACGTTTTTATACCGCCACAGTTGGTTTTGTCTCATCTTTTTTTCTTTTTAATTAATTAATCACGTACACGGGACAGACGACGGGCCCCCGCAGACCATATATAATAATATTATTTCCTCGTGCATTCTCGATATCACGCAGTGGATGGCGGTTCTCGCCGACCGCCATAGGTCTAGTGTAGAAATGACCGCCAATCGTACGATGATACAATATTCAGGAATCTCTAATTTTCCAACTACTGGCACACAACGAACAAAATCTCCTCTTTTTGACTAGAGCTTGCCATAACGCGTATTTCTTTAATACATACCATAATCTGATCATACAAACGCAGCCTTCTAAAAACTAATAAATGCAAAACGCCTACAATACAATTCGCCTACGTTTAAATATAAATATATATATATATATATATATATATATATATATATATATATACAATATCGTTCGTAATTAAATTTAAACATTATATTCAATATATTATATAATCATATATTTTTATCGGCTACTAGAATAAAAAAATAATTTCTCCATTTTAGACATTTTATAAGAGGAAGCTTTGATAGAACCGTTCACAGTTTGTAATATACTATATACATAATTCGAAACTATAGTAGACATCATTATCTTAGTTGTAATAATAAATAATATAATATATTATGTACAACAGTATACACCTACGCACTCGTTCGCTGTACTCGACTCTATGAAATACCATTTGTATTCATTAAATTTACGATATCATTATGAAAAAGAATAACCTGAGTGTTGAATATAGAAAAATTTTATGTTTAATAATCTAAACCTTATATAATTTAACGTTTTGGAAAAGCAATTAAAAACTTGTTTATAAAATCAATTACAATGATCATCAATAGAAACAAAAGTTAAGTACAAAATATGTACTTAAACAAGTTAAAATATAAATTAAAAACGAATTGTGGTAACTACTCAACCATTGTGGCATTCAAAAAAATAAAAAGCTTAAAAAAAATCAATCGTTTCTATACAATTTCGACGACTTCCGTGGATAGAAATCCATTACAATTTACAGTTGATTACACTATTGTAAAAAAAAAAAAAAATATTAAATAAATTTGAATAATTTTATATTTTTTCTAAAGAATCTTTTTCTTACGTTCTACACCCTAAGTGTATCGACTTATAGTTCTAAATATATAAATTTAGTCATACAAATTTAAAACAATATTTTAATAATTTTCTAACAAACCTAATAGGTTTAAAATAGTATTATAGAGGTATGCTTATGAAAATTTTTTTAAAAATCAGAGGAAGTCTACTGTAGATATTTTGATGAGCGTTTACTGAATAAATATGTTAAATTTAAATTAAATTATGAATAGTTCATACATGAAAATCAATTGTGAATGAGGTACTCTATTTCTAAGAATATTTTGTAATTTACTAGTATTTATACTACTTTTGATACCTTATTAATTTTTTTAATAATAATACTACATAAAATTTTTGTCATTAAAATCATGTTTTAAAATATTATTTTATAACAATATATAATAAATTTTTCTGGTTGCTGTAAGAACAACTTATAAAGTATTTTTAATACACTTTCAATTATAAGTATTAAAATTAAAAATTAAGTAAATTTATAATTCAATAAGACACCAATGTTCGCAGTTTTAACAAATTTGTCAAAATGTTAGCTCCAAAATTATGCCTATATAGTATATATATTGAGATAAATAAAACGTATATTTAATTATGCAAATTTTTAAATCTTAACAGTTATTCCATTTTAATAGTAAAAAAAATTTTTTTGCAAAAATTAGTGTTCCTGTTTTTGTTTACGCATTTTTTTCTGCTGATTATCTAAAAAACAACAAGAAATTTTTTATTTTTGACTTTCAAATATACAAACTATAGATTCAATTGGCTAACAGAAACGCCCCTCAATGTTGAAGTTATAAGCATTTTTACTGCTTCAAAAAGTGTGATGACTAATGAGTAATGAATGATAACACACAAAAAACACATTTTATTTTACCAATATCTATTTATCATTCTTTTCAGAAGAATTTAAAGAGTTAAATTTAAAATATTAAATCCTTATTATAAAAAACCTGATTTAGATGAATTTAAAAATTAATACTATAAAAAAAAAAAAAAATAGTTCATAAAAATATATAGTTGGTATACTGTTGTTATATGTATCTATTATATATATTTTTAGACATACATAATATATAAATTTAATCTAAAATAAATCAATTTTATAATTCAATTTTTTTTTTAAACATTTGATAATAAATTATGAAAACCACAATTGAAAAAGTACAATAGGTGCTTATAGACATCGCCTTTTTTAAAGTAGGTACAATAATATTATGTTTTATATCTTTTATACAAAACGAAATAATAAATTTTTAATTTAAATTGTTCACAGAAATCTAAATTTAATCATCAACTGTAATAAAATACAAAACATAGAAATATATCTCGATACAATGTAATAATGTAAATTTATAATTTAACTTTATAAATGAATATTTATTTTATTTAATCATTTCTCATTCAAATTAAATGCATTATGCAGTACAACACTATAATATCAACTATTGATGGTAATAAACATTGTTATTTGTTGAAAGACATCTGATAAATTATATGTTAAATTAAAGTTATCATTACTAATAATATTAAACAATACAATTACAGGCAAACTTTATGAATATGTTTTTAAGTATACAAATGCATATTATATACTAAATATTCTAATTAAAAAATTCGTAATTGACTTTTATCATGAATAAAAATTTTAAAAGTACAAATAGAAATTATTACAAAATTGAAAGTATTTGTACTTACTGCATTTAAATAAAGTGATTAGTACTAAGTATATTTGATACATAAAATT